CGGTTGCATTCATCATCATTTTATCATTGGTAATTTTCATCCTTTTTTCATTCCCCACACTTCTACCCTCTCCTAATCCCCTAATCCCCCCGCAAAAATCGATTTTCCGCCCCGTGAAAAAAAAAAAATTCATTTTTTTTTTATTTTTTTTTTTACGTTTTCCTTATGGGGAAAGAGTGGAAGGCGACGTGCCATTTTTTTTTTTTTTTTGTTTTGTTTCCTCACCCATTTACAACAACATCCTCCTCCTCCTCATAGATATGCAAAAAAAAAAAAAAAAAACAAAAACAAACAAGCGAATATTTTTGTGGAAACAAAAATTAAAAAAAAAAAAAGCAGACGACAAATTGAATTTGAAATATAATTTTTTTTTTTTTTTTTTTGTGGACCTTGGCGATGGTGAAATGCGGCGTGAAAAAAAAAAAAGGACGTGAAATCGGGGAATCCCAAAAAATTTTATATTGGAGTTAATTAAAGTCTCTCCGCGTTGTGTTGTTTTGCATAATTCTATATATATATATCGACCTAGAATATTATTGAGTGCAAAGTGCTATCACAGCATCATCCCTCGAGGATAACTTTTCTGTACTACTCTCTCTCTCTCTTTCTCACTCTTTCTCTCTTTTCCTTTTCACCCTCACTCCCAACTCGGGCGAAATTCGCCCTCGATAAATTAATAACATTATCCCCTTAGCAATTCGAGCATCGTTTCAACGTTGACGACGAAGGAAAGACTTAAATATTATTTATACTTTGAATTCATTTTTTTTTTTTTTTTTTTTTTTTTTTATTCTTCAACTCATCATCATCATCATCATCATCATCGATGTGAATGCCACACATCACTTACACCACTTAGAATTTGCAATCGAGGGAGGAGGATACAAAAAACGATACGAGAGGGAAAATAAAAATAAAAAAATTACGTAGAAGACGGAAAGAAAAATGAATTTTTTTTCTCTTTACCGTCGTGACTTTTAAATCGATTAAAAAAAAAAAAAACTTATTACCACGCACGCATGCACTTTTTCATATAAACGTTTTGTTATCCCCTCACCTGTCTCGCGAGATTTCCCATCTCCTCCCATTCGATTCATTCCTATCCTATCTAACTGAGTTTTTTTTTTTTTTTTTCCGGTTTGAATAAAATCCAATTATTTGTTTGTCGATTGTCGATAATCGAAATCTCGATTATCGAAATTAATACAAAATAAATAAATAAATACTAATTTTTTTTTGTTTGTTACGAACGTAATAATTTATCGTTAGGCGTATCCCACAATACGCACACCGGTAGCTTGAAAATTATTTCGTTTACCTTTAACTTTAATAAATCAACAAAAATTAAAAAAAAAAAAAAAAAAAAACAGAAAAAACAGGTGGAAAGTAAAAGAAAAAAGAAGAAGAGAATGACGAAGAAGAGAAAGACGAAGAAGATCTAAAAGGGAAAATAAATTTTGTGGCAAAAATATCAAAAAAAAGCCGCCGTGACACAAATTCCCCGAAAAATTTACAATAATAAGAAATTTTTTTTTTTTTCTTTCTGCGACTACTACCCTCCCCCCCCACAAAATTTCCCTTCAATGAATTTCACTCGAAACGAAATAAATACAGTAATAATAATAATAAATGACCCGATTTTAACATTAACGAAAATAAAAATAAAAAGTTTTATGAATGAAATTCAAAGGTGAAAATTTACAAACACGATGGAGACAGACGCCATTTCCACTTTTAAAACCGTTTTTTTGCGCGCCTCAGATTCGTTAAAAGACTTGAAAAGAAAAATCGTAATAAATACGTCAATCAATTTTTCCTTTTGAGTTTTTTTCCTTTTCTACAAATTCATTCATACTCATTCGAAGTAAAAAATTTTTTGAAAAAAAAAAAAAACCATCAACTCGAGACACTTTTCAGAAATTTCGGAGCCACGATTATGGGAAAAGAATAACAACGACAACGACAAAACTCTTTTTTTTTTTAAATTATGGTCTCGAACCTTAATTTCCCCCCCCCCCACCAAAAAAAAAAAAAAGTAAAAAGGAAAACTTTATTTTTCTAACCTTTGTCCGTACGAGTTTTGGACATTCCGCAGCGAGTTTTGCCAATACTTGATATTCTCCTTTGGCAGCGTGAACCAACCATTCACGAGTTTTCGGATCTATCGAAGTCATCGACGAGCTATCGTCTTCTTCCTATATAAAAAATAATAATAATGTTATTAATAAATAAAAAAATAAATGACGTCATAACAGAATTTTCACTTAATTTCGAAACGAACAACAACGACGACGACGACGACGTCGGTCGGTTCGTTAGTTACAACGTTTTACAAAAAAAAAGTTTCGAAAGCATTGTTACTTATAATAATAATAATAATAATAACAATAATGATGATAATAATAATAATAATAATAATAATAATAATAATAATAATAACAAGTATTATTATGTTTAAATGTTTGACATAATACGACCCACGTTAAGACTTTTTTTCACAACATTTCGTTCACGTGCGCGGTACACAAACTTTGTTGCCAACAAATTAGTGTAAAAAAAAAAAAAAAAAACTCTAAACGTTCTTCCTCCTCCTCCTCCTTCCTCATTCATTCTTTTTACTCCTTTTTTTTTTATAGAGTCAAACACTTGAAAAATTTTTAGGGGGTAACGAATAACAACAAAAGAAAAGGGGGAAAAGAAAAAAAATGTTAAACGAATATGAAATCGCGTGCTGATATTTTAGTCATTGTAATACTCAACGACTTGGCAACCGTGACAGTTAATATACCTGAGATTTTTCTTTTTTTATAAAAATACTTAATAACCTTTTGTAAAATCTTTTTTTTTTTTTTTTCGTAAGACATCCAATTTTCTTTTTTAAATAAAAATTCCATCGGTGAATAAAAAAAAATCTACTACTACTGGTAAATGTATCGCAACAACTGACGCCTTTCAATCTCTTTTTTTTTAAAAATAATTTCCCCATTCTTATTAATTATTATATATACATACATAACATGACGTAAAAAACTTATTCACGTAAAAAAGGAAAAAAGGAAAAAGGAAAAAACATTGAATCAGAGTCTGATCTCGCTACGGTCACAAAAATAAGACGTGCAAAACGCCCAAAACGCCTTTCAAACCTATTTAACATATAAATTAGTTTTTCTCCCGGTAATAACATCACCTTATTTATAGTTTGTACTTGTTTTTCGAAAATTTTCTACAAAACCCTCTTAGCTCTCTCTATCTTTCTCTCTCTCTCTCTTTTTAAAATCGTACATTAAAATATAACCGAAAGGAAAATTATTCATTCTAGTCTCACAACAACAACAACTTCGGCACGAGACCTTAACCACTGCTACCACTACTACTACTACCACCATCACGCCACAATATGATTGATGGTTTTTTTTCTACGCTGTAGTTGTTTTCCTTTATGAGAAAGAGAGAGAAAGAAAGAAAAAAAAAAGGAAAACAAAACAATGAAAGTTTTCTTTTTTTTCTCTTCCACGACGGCATCCAATTAGAACGTTACGGTAAGTGGTCTCTTCTCTCTTTTTTCGCTACTACCACACAGCATCCCACTCTTGAAAAGTTTTTAAGAGAGAACGTGTGTCGCAAATGGAATCATCGTGACTCGAGGCGTACGCTTTGACGACACGCACACGCACACACACAAAAAAAAACGTTCGAAAATTTTTTTATGAGCTTAAAATTTTACAGTTAATAATCTTTCTCGCATTATTATTATTATTATTATTTTTCTAACAATAATCCTCCTCCATCTTGTGCTCAAGGAGAGAAAGACTCGACATTTTTTTTTCTCCTTTCTTAAAACCGTAAAATGATTCTTTAAAAAAAAAACGAAAATCGAAATTCGATAAGAGATTTCGATCGAAAGATTCGAGATACGATGATGACGATCGAAAAATCATCATCATCATCATTATTATTATTATCATTAACGAAAATTTAATAATTATCGTTGTTATTATTAATATTATCAATCGAGTTTCATCTTATCACGAGCGAGCGAACGAGCGACCTTTAAAATAAAATAATTTAATTGATCGTCGATTATGATCGCCGATAACGTCGATTGATTCCATTGTTTTCAATAATTAGTATTTGACGTGGGGGTAAATACCTAATGGAAATGCGTGACGACGACGACGACGACGACGATGACGTCACGTATGTTTTCTTTCCAACCGACTTTCTTCAATTTTTTCTCTAATGAATCGTCATCGCCTCCTCGACTATTAATGTTATTATTATTCGCTAATTGAAATTTTTCACGTTCGCATACCCTGGGTACTACTACTACTACTACTACTACTACTACTACTACTTTAAAATGAACGTTTTCCCATTCGAAAAACAATCAAGTCATCATTCGAATGTAAAAAAAAAAAAAATCGGGAAAATCCGACGGCAACTTTTTTATTTTTATTTTTGGTTGTTTTCATCGTTTCCCAAAAATAATTCTTATTAAAATTCCATTTTACGCGCCCTCAAAAAAAAAACATTGGCACGAAGCCGAAACTAATTTCGTTTTTATCCAACGTAATTTTTCTTTTTAATAAAAAAAAAAAAAAAAAAAAAAATTAAATTAATATTGATGATGATGATGACGACAACGACGGGGATAATAATAATAATATTAATAACAACAATAACACGAGAGCCAAATTTTTTTGCGAAACGTTCGACAAAAAAAAACTTACTTTAAATTTACGAATTATAATCCTTTTGATTCGCGCCCCTCTCTCCTCGTCCGTTCGTTTTTTCTTCTTTTCTTGAGGGAACCAAAATAAAAACGAGTATCCGAGCACAAAAATTAATAAGGAGAGAGAGAGAGAGAGAGAAAAAAAATGTCGTTTGAATTTGATCATTTTCCTTTTCTTTCTTTTTTCTCATCATATTTATTTATTTTTTTTTTTTTTAAATTGGATTAAGAGTTAAAAGTGTAATATTTGATGTTGAACATTGTTCTTTTAAATGGATAAACCAATTGTGTTCCCAGCGGGAGAAAACAAACATTTACTGGTCACAACTAGTGTTAGCATATATAAGACTGCCAAGTCACCGTTCCCTATCTCCTAACATTCCATTGATATTTTGTTAAAGAACTTAAAAGATCTTAAAAATTAAACGATTGTAATTGAGACTACCTCCTGGTGGTCTCCGTCTCGTCTGGTCGACATAACATCTTTCTGTCAAACAGCATAAAAACGTGGTTTGTTTTTTTTTTTTTTTTAAAAGAAAAATTAGGTACCAAAAAGTAAAGTGGCTGTTAATGGTACCCGGTTATTAACGAACGTTGATTTCAATTCATAACAACGTGTGTCGCTCCTGACACGGCGTAAATTTCTTTTCCTCTTTTTTTTTTTTAAGTTTCTCTTATTATTTGAGTGATGTGTAAAAAAAAAAAAAAATAATTTTGATAATCTCTTACCTTATCTAATTTTTTTTTAACGTTATTCGTCGTTGTCGTTGTTGTTGTCGATGGGATTTTAGGCAAATCACTTTCCGATGCCATCCTATTAAATTTTTGCATTCTTTCTTTGACTGATATTTTTCTTTCGCATTCTAATTCCACGTCTCCGGTTGAAGAATCTCCAGATGATGATTTGGACATGTCCGAGTGATGTTCTTTTTTTATTTTTTCCGTTAAACTTTTTTTCCTCACGGGAACGGATGGAGGATCTTCGACATTAGTTTTGTCAGGCGACGATGGCGAAATGGCCGATGTAGGAAAAATAGAGGTTGGAGATACTGGAGTCAAAGGAGAGGAAGATTGTGGTGATTTGGTTGGAGTCACGGGAGGAGGAGGTGCTCTGTACGGTGGGGGTTGACGAACGGATAAATTATTATTTCCGGTATTGGATTCCGAAGGCATTTTTGAATTTGACGAGAGTGATAATGACGAAGGAGAAGAACTAAAACATTCTTCAAGGCCGGGAGGTCTAAATCTACGTTTAAGTATTAAATATTTTTCATCTCCTTCCGTTCTTATCACGGCTACCTCGTTAACTATTTCCTTAAAGTAATTTCTAGCGTCATCTGTAAATTTTATTAAAGTAAAAATTAAAATTAATTATTCAAAAAAAAAATCATTATTATTATTTATTTGATTTTATTAAAATGTGCTGTCTAACAATAGATTGATAATTAACAGTGCAACATTATAATATTTTATACAAAAATAAAAAGATCATGAGTTAAGAAAATTATATATACATCCTTAACAATATTACATTATTGCATCAACTTAATTAATTACTCTTATTTATTAATTAAGTTCCCATAATAAAAAAAAAAAGCTTCGAATGAAAGTATCATAATGAATTAATAATAAAAATTTACAGTGCATTTGCAAGTATGTGTGTGTGTGTAAAAGCATGAATCGAGTAAATAAAATTTGTGTACTTAATGAATTCTTATAGCTTATTAAGCTAAAATAAACAAATAACTACTAAATTTTCATAAACAAAAGCTAAAAATTGCAATTAAAAGTATTATGAGCTTATTCTTCAGGTATTTTTTTCATTATCGATTACATCAGCCCAAAATATTCTTTATTATTTTGCACAAAGAAATAAAGTAATTAAAGTCCATAAGTATATGCAGCTAATTAAGATATAGTAATGTTAATAATTATTTATTTGAAAAGATTATTGTATGTATTACATTTAGGGCATTAACTCGAATGTGTCTCATCCATCGATTTCAGTGATTTTCACAATGAAAAATTATTTTATGTTAGATAAAAGAACTCACCATTTAAAGTGATAAACTTAATACTTAAGTAATGATAAAATTTATAAGCAGAAAACAATAGCACCAAATTACAAATGAAAAAATTAACCAAGGTTAAGTTGAATTAAAAAGACAAGTAATTAACAAGGTTAGGTTAAGTGAATTTTTTTTTTTTTTCTTTTGCATTAAAAAAAAAGAAAGTAAATATTTACTCACAAATAACTGTATGTTTAATAATGAACTGTTTAATTAAAACTGAATAAACCAATAACCCAATAAATAAAAAGTACTTTTATACGGTAAAGATAAACTTTTTTTACAACTTGTCAAATGAAAAAAAAAAAATTACAAATTGAAGTGTTATATTACAAAATTTAAAATTACTTTTTCCCAAATTGAGATATCGTGTGGGCTGAAATAAAAAAAATAATAACAAACCCGAACAAATGATAATTTATGATAAATTTTTCAAAAACTGTACATCAAATGAAGTTATTGTAAAAAAAAAAAAAAATGTATCAAATATTAAACACATAATTATAAAACAAAATCATACCTCTGTTTTGAGGTTTAGTTAAAAATTTTTTAAAATGTTTAACTAAATCGTGATTTCTAACTTTACCACCGTTTAATATAATAAAATCTTTAACAGCATCAAAAGATAATTCGGCAGAACTTGACATTTCTTGTTACATACAAAAAAAGTCAAATCAACCTTTGCCTACGTTTACGTTGTTGCCAACATAACTGGTTGAATCATGAAAAAAGGCGGCGCGGCCATTCCAAACGATGACATACTTTTTTAAACAATCATGACATTTTTAGATTTAATAATAATTGTTTGTAATTTGATAAGAATATTTTTTATTTGCAAAAAAAAAAAAAAAAAAACCAACATTCTTTTTTCTTTTAATGCAAAAAAAAAAAAAAAAAAAAAAACAGGACAAAGAACAATAACGTATAAAAAAAAAAAAAATATGAAAAATTAAATAATAATAAATATACTTACGTACATTTTTGTTATTTATATCTCTATGACTTTTTTTGTTTTAGTTCGAATGAGTTGACCGTTATTAAAATTTTTTTTTTTTTCGAAAAGTTTTATTAAAAAATATCACACACGAATAAAAAATTATAACTTTTTTTAATTTAATTTTTTTATTTTCATTTTTAGGGAATATAGGAGTTTGTTTTTTCATTTTGTTTTAAAAAAAAAAAAAAAAAAATTTCAACACATGAACACATTTGAAAATTTTAGAAAAAGCCCCGGAGGAATAATAAAATTTTTCAAAAAACATATTTTAATACGTTTTAGAAAATGAAACTTGTACAAGTAAATCCTCAAGCCTTTTTTTCCTTTATAACCCCTAAGGCTCTTTCCATATACACACTCTCGGAAATAACTAACATTTTCAAACTAATTATTGAATTATGTTATTCGGTTATTATTTGCAAGTTTTAAATGTCTTCCCTGCTAGACTTATTAGTAATTAGTTATTAGTTAACATTAAAAAATTAAAATTTTTTTCAAAAAATTATTATTTTATAAAACATTTAAATTCTAAAACCTAATTTGCTACAATTTTTCCCTACCCCCTCCCTTTCCCCTTTCCTCTTCCCCCACATTTTTTTAAAAAAGTAAAACGTTTTTATTATAAATAAGGAAAAAAATTATAAATAAGGAAAAAAGAGAAAATTTTAACACGGAAACGAATCCCTTTCGCCATTGTAAAAAAAAAAATGTCCTTTTTGTGAAAATGTTTTTTTTTTTTTTTTTTTTTTTTTTTTTTACCAAAATAGAAAACATAATAATAATAATATAAACTAATGAAAAATTTCACTTTTTTTTTTTTTTTTTTTGGTCGCATCAAATTTGACATTTATGTAAAAAAAAACTAAACTAAACTAAACTAAAAAAAAAAAAAATATGGCGTAGAATAATAATGCACAGATGACTTGACTGTTATGTGACATTTATTTTATATAATTTATATATATTCATTCTCTTCTCTTTTTTTTTTTAAACAAGAGAGGAAAATTTTTTATTTTTTTTATTTTATTTCCACACTTAATTAAATAAAATTTATCGTATTATTATTATTATTATTTGCAAAAAAAAAAAAACAAATTTTTCCCTTCTTAAAACATTTATATATATATATATAATTCAGGTAGGTAGATAGATAGATAGATAAAAAAACCGTTAATGTAAAATAGTTAATGGAACAACAGAGTCAAACGTTAAACCTTTTGATGTGTTACATAAATTTTTTATAAGTAAAATAATAATAATAATAATAATTTTTGTCAATTTAACACTTTATTCTAGAAAAAACAGAAAAGACGACAAAGTTAAAATTGATAACAATAATGATAAACACGTTACGTCAATTAATTTTTAATGTGATTAAGAATTTTTCACACCTGTACAAAAAAAAAAAAATTATTTAGTCATTATTCGAACGAAAACGACGACGAGGAAAAACGTTTTTCTAGAAATTTCTATCAATTTTTTCCTTTTCGACATACGAATTTTTTAAATGGTAGGAAAGGGTAAAAAAAAAATTTGGTTTCGCCGTTTAAAATCGATCCTTGATCAATAATTCAATGGATAAATTCAATAAAAATCAAATAATAATAATAATAATAATAATGTTGGGAAAATATTTTATGAACGATTTTAACGGTTTTTCTGTTGGTTGGATGAGGGAGGTGATGACAGTAATAAGCGACACGACAGGATTAAATATAAAAAAAAAAAAACATGATTGATTCATTACTTTTGAGTTTTTCATAATAATAAACATAATGAACAAAACAACATAACATAACATAACGTTGTTGTTGTTGTTTTTCTATCTCTCTTTCTTCCATGTTTTATTTTATATTTAAGCTTTTTAATAGAGATGAAAAGAATGGGGAAATACAAAAGGAAAAAGCTATAAATTGAATATTTTAATTTAACAAAACAAATATACTACCAATAATAATTTTTGGGAGTTGTAAGAGAGAGAGAGAGTGTGTGTGTGTGTACGTGTTTGGAAAGCAATAAAGTGAGAGAGAGAGAGTGAGAGAGAAGAGAAATAAAAGAAAAAATTAAAATTTTTTTTTTTGCTAATAGATTTTTCCCTATGAAAAACCCTCTCGCTATAAATTATTTAATTCATTATTATTAAACTTATTGGCATTGTTTAAAAGGTTTTCAATTTTAAAAAATTTTTTCGGGAGACATGATGATATCGAATCGCCATGATGATAATTCCGTGTCATTAATAAATTCATCATCATTCATAATTAATATAATAATAATGATAATGATGATGTTTTTTTACCGATCATCCGCATCGGGAAAAATTTAATATTATTTACCACATTACATACATAATTTATCCGAAATTTCCGGTATAAATAAAAAAAAGAAGGGTTTTGTTGGTTGGGGGGGAAGGAAGAAGGGAGGGGGAAATGGGAAAAAAGGGTTAAGAAAAAGAAATTATTGGATGGATATCGATCGACCAGGTGAAATTGACAACAACAAAAACAACAAAAAATTTGAATTTTAAATTTGTTTTTTTTTTTTTTTTGGTTACAATTATGACATTTAAGTGACCACGTGCAAATAAGAGTTTATGTGAAAGGAAGTTAATTAAATGGGGGTTATTTGTTAGGGGTGGTTGGTTGGTTGGTTGGTGTCGTCTATGAAGATATCCGGACACCGGTGAAAGATCAATACGGGACAACACCGGATATGGTTTTTTAAAAAAAAACAGTTTTTTTAAATTTTCGTTAATTTTTTCCATACCTCCATAAAAAAAAAAGAAGCGAGGTTCCCCTCCTCCCCTTGCCCCTCTCCCCGTATAAAATAATACATAACGGTAAAAAAAAAAATCCGTTTTCCAAACGAAAAAAAAAAAAAAAAAGAATTTAAATTATCGTTATTATTTTTTTTGTTATTAGACAAAGAAAGAAAAAAAAAATCTTTTCGCTCATTGGTTAAATCGTTTGTAAACGACGAACAAAAAAAAAATTTGGCATTTGGAGGGAAAAGAAGAAGAAGAAAAGTAGTAGTAATAATAATAATAATAATTAAATTTCACAAGCGAAAAACATTTTAGAAAGAAGGGTTTAACCAAATATAAAGCATATAGATAGATAGATAGATAAATGATACGAATGATAGCGCTGATGCGATGTTAAGCTCGGCCCACACGAGAAAAACCGGGTGTGCGGTTGAGTGCGGCGGAAGGAAGTGCAACAGACCCACACCGGCTAGTGACGTAGGAGCAACAACAACAACACCGCCGCGTGTTGGCTCTTTTTCTCTCTCTCTCTTTCTCTCTCTCGGTTATTTTATTATTATTCTTCCCATACATTTATACATACGCGGATATATATCATCATTTTTTTTTAAAATAAAATTTGTCTTCTGCTTTTTTGTTTTTAAATAAACGGGAGTTTAAAGTTTAAGTTTTTCGCGATGGAATTAATCGTCGGTTGTGTTTATTATTAATAAAAAAAAAAAATAAACTTTTCGAAAAAAAAAAAAAAAACGCGGGAAAAAAATTTCGCGGAGTGATTTTTTTGGGATATTTTTTTTTTTAATATCCCCATAACGCATTTACGCACGCACGCACTCACGCATGCACGGGTCTCTTACGTGAATTATATATATATATAAGTTTAAAACGAACGTTTTTTAAATGTTTTGTAATGCGGTAAAAAAAAAAAAATAAAACGCGCGTTATTGTGAAAAAAAAAGTGATATTATTATTATTATTATTTTTACAAATGTTTTTTTAAAAGGAAGGATCTCAAAGGAAGAAAAAGAAGAAGGAAAAAATGGACATCGGAGACGATTGTTGGGATCAAATGACTCCTCTTTTAATTAACGATAATAATAATTCATTAATTAATCCGAACGGTTCGAGTGTTGTTCAATCATATACCTGTAATCCGGATGAGGTAAGGAATCATTTTTTTTTTATCATTATCATTATTTCGCACCCTTTTTCACGTCATCGTTCCCGGGGAAAATTTGTCTCCTCCCGTCCGTCGTCCATTTTTCTTTTTTCCTGATTTAATTCGACCGGAAAAAAATCACCTGACGACTCGTAAATGAATTTAATAACTTGAACCACTTCTATCTTTAATTTATTTTATAGTTGTAATTAAATAAATAAAGTTTAAATAATTTTAAAATTTATTTAAAGACTAATAATAATAATAATAATAATAACGACTTTAATGCCGCGGCATCGTTAAATATTAAATTAACGGAAAAAGGAAAAAATTTTATTATTATTTTTTTTTTACCCTAAACGTTCGTTTGCACACGCACAAAAATCCACAAGACTAAAAAAAAACGTCGTGGGAGTAGAACGGGGGAACCTGAGGGACGGGGGAGTGGGTGATGAAGGAGGAAAAAGGTATTTAAAAAAAATTTTTTTTTTCGATATAAAATAAATAAATAATTAGCGGCATTAATTTTTTTTTTTTTTTTGAGGAGTGGTAGCAGAAGACGTTCGATGTAATAATAATAATAATAATAATAATAATAATAATAATAATAATAATAATAATAATAATAATAATAATAATAATAATAATATGAATGTGGATTTTATATATAAAAAAAAAAGCGCACAAACACGAGAGAGAGAGATAGGAGACGAGATCTCATGAGTTT